TGTTGTGATGGTGGTGTTTCTGATTATGGTGTTAATGATAGTGATAGAGGTGTTATCGTTTTAGTGGTGGTGGTGACGATGTTATTGATGGGGTGGGATCGTTGATATTTTAGGTAGCGGTGGTGATTGTTGTGTTGGCGGTGGTGGCGGTAAGTGTTGTTGGTATTGATCGTGGTGATGGTCACAGTGTTGGTGGTGGTACTGTTTTTGGTATCGGTAGCGCTGCCGGTGGTGTTGTGGTTGTTGCTGCGTTGCCATAGCGACTGCATGCCGCTGCAGGGCCCCTTCGCCACGTTCCGCCTGCAGCAGGACCGCACGTGCGACTGGACCGGCCTCAAGATCAGCAACGACGGCAAATTCATCCTCATCGCCACCAACGGAGGCGTGCTGCGTCTCGTCGACGCCTTCCAGGGCAGCGCGCTTCACATGTTCACGGTGAGGGCCGGGGTGGGCCACCAATCGCGGCCGCGCAAAGCTGCCCGGGCTACGAGTGAGCCGCTCTGTACCTTCATTAAACTGTATCACTGGAACTCCCGCACTACGGAAAGTCTCGTATGCAAAGGTGTGGAGCAGGAGGAATCACGACCAAGGTGTGCATTGTGAAGCGCTGTTCTGCGTGCGTGCGTGAGTGGGTGCTGTTAGCGAGTAGCGGCGTCGTCTGTGAAGGCTGGCTCGGCACACAAGGGGAAGGGTGAACAGCACCACAGCACTTGCCACAAAAGTCGGTTAAGGCCACACTGGGGTCTGTTGTGTGTGGGTTGCAGGGCCACACGAACAGCAAGGGCATCACCCTGGAGGCATCCTTCTCCCCCGACTCCCAGTTCATCATGACCGGTGAGAAATGCTGAACGCGCAATGTAATCCTGTACTGCATACTACTCAATTGGGATCATGCACAGTAACAACATCACCCTGTTACTGTGACAAACTTAACAGGACCCTCCTGAGGGAACGGGGGGGGGGGGGGGGGGGGGGGGGGGGGGGGCGAGTACAGCTGCAGAAGAGCTCCTTTGTTGGTCGCCTCGAGCTTCGGAAGCGCTGCTGGGACCAAGCGGGGTTCCTCGCACGAGGGCCTCGTACGTTCTGGAGCCCGCTTTCCTGGGCGCACGGCGCATTCACAACGCTACCGCCACTCACGATCGGTAATGACGAGAGGTTCCACGGAGCCGTGTCATGACCGCTTGTGCTCGGCACGCGCTGCGTGCAGGTTCAGAAGACGGGAAGATCCACGTGTGGCACACGGAGAGCGGCACCAAGGTGGCCATCCTGGACGGCAAGCACACGGGCCCCGTCACCTGCCTGCAGTTCAACCCCAAGTACATGATGGTGGCCAGCGCGTGCGCCAACATGGTGAGCATCGCGCGAGCTTTCGCGATGCGCATCTAGCGGTCTCCCTGCTTAACACCGCGCGGCGTCTGCTCGTAAGCGGACGTTAAAGATCCTGTGGCATCAGTCTCAGTGATAGGCCATTGTGTGCTGGTGCCATGGTCCAATAAGGGTAGTTCCGATTGAGGATGTACGTGGGAATGGGTTCGTACTTCCTCTGTGCGCCAAGGGGGGGACTGGGGCTACTCCCCTCGTCCCCCCGGCTTTCGTGAGCCTCAAGGCGTCGGTGGTCCGCTCTTGTCTGCAGCCCTGCAGAGTCTGTGGTGGAAATTCTACATTCCCATGTTGGGGGAGAGTCTCTGCACAGGACAACCCCTGTTATCTTCCCCCTACACAAATTGGTATTTATTTTATCGACCCCTGGGGAATGACGGGCTGACGAAAAGCCCAACCAGGATGCAAACTCGCCCCTCTGAGTGTGCGAGCCGTTCTCTCCGTCGCCGAGCCAACCGGCCATAGCTCAGCTCACTCGGGGAATCGGCCCTCCTGCTGCAGCCACGACACCTGTCTCACGGAGACGTGCAACGGGACACCGGCTTCCTTCGCGCAGTGGAAAAAGGGGCTTGAGCGCCTGCGAACACGTACCGGTGAGATGTGATAGGCAGCCACTGGTGTTCTCTCTCTCGCGCTGCAGGCTTTCTGGCTTCCCACCATCGACGACTGAGCAGCGCCACGGCTACCGCCGTTCGTTGGGAGAGCGCCCCGAGTTGACGGACGCCTCGAGCGGCCGCGCTGCGACTACCGGGCGCGTGCTCCAGCAAGATGAACCCTGGTGTGGGCGACTCCCGGCTGGACTCCGGCTTACGCCGCAGTCTCCCATGCGGTGCGGCCGAGGTGGAGGTGCAATGTCTTCACACGGCGCATGTTCAGCTCCGCGGAATTTCTGGTTTCTCTCCAAGTTCAATTGTCGTCTGGAAGGCACCGTGGCCGTCCGGGCTGCGTCACAACATGGACTTTTTTGTCGAGTGTCATTGGTCAACTAATCCGTAACTTACATTTTCTAGATTACAGGCTGTTTTTACTCAATGCGTTTTTGTTTTTTGTAAATGCGTTGGTTTTACAGGAAAGTGAGAATCAGTGTCTCAGGTCTGCAAGCTCAGTAGAATGCGTTGTTTTAGCCTTGGAGTTTGTGTTGATGTGAGAATTGCTTCCTTCAACAGTGGACGAGCGATCGCAGCTGCGGGCCACCACGGGCCTTCTTGGTTCGGTCCGTATCACACTTGTTACGCCAGGGCGTTCTCTTGCCGAGGGCATGCATCCAAAGGGGGGCTTGCGCTCAATGCGGGGGGTGGGGGCTCTAACTGTGATTGAGGGACCATGCTGTGCTGTGGAGAGACTTGAAGCAAGCTAACTGTGTGGGTTCCCTGCCAAGCGGAGACTGCAAGTGTTTGGTGTTACAATAGCATTGGCAATGACCTCTTGATCTTGTCAAACAATGCCATGTGGAGAAGGTGGCTCTTTCCAGTACTGAAGCTGCTGTGCTTAACAGCATTCGGTGCACAGCCTCTGCCCCACAAGGTTGTGGTGCATGGCCTCCGTGTGCCAGAGGCTGTGTGCTCAACCCAGCCTGTGGCACACGCATTGCATGCACCACTCCTATCCACACTTAATATTAGGGTTGTGCCCACAGCTTTTGTTACCTGCAGCAAGAACATTTTTGTAACATCTGCAAGTTATTTTGTAACCGTGTTTCTCCTCGTTAATGTTTCTAATAACTTGAAACCGGCGAGTGTTCATTTTGCAACAAATTCATGCATGAAGACACGGGTGAATGTTGGCCGTATACCGCTTAGTTGTCACGCTGAAGCACGGTGTTTTGTAAATATTAAGAGTCATCAGGCGAAGGCAGCCTGTGGCGAGGATGCAGTTGTCCCACTGGCTGTGGAATCCTCTCGAGGGAGAGGACGGATGTGCTCCGGGTGGGAGCAGCAGCGAGCTCCAGCTCCTCTTGCATGTTGTGTGGGTGGCTACCGTCACAGCATTTCACCGCTGAGGAGTGCGAGCTTGGGCCGGTGAAGTGGACATCTGGGGGTGCAGGCCCCAGCGCCGGCAGCTCCTTTGTGGCGCCGGGGTGGCCTTGCGAGTGAAACTTGGGCAGCTGTACGGAACTGGTTGCCACAATCTATGAGCATCCCAGGCTGGACCCACAGTACATGATTACAAACGTCGAGGTCAACCACCGACTTCTGTTTTCTGGTCATTTCAACTCTGCCACATTCTCAATTTGAAACTTTAATAATTTATACTGCCACACGACTGACGCTCCATCCAGAAGCTGCTGTATCGCTTGCGATTAGAGAGGTTACCACTGCTATCACAGGTATTTTCAGATGTTAAAATATTTGTGACCCAATTTTGATTACAAATTGTAAACTGAAGTGATTTATTTAACATTTATAAAATGTTCAGCAAAGTCCTCCCCCGATAGCTGTTCCCCCAGGGCACAGTGCTGTGTACCACATCCTCCACCTAATTTAGTTTCTCACGGAGTGCTGGGCCATGGCCGGTTATGCGCTCTCATTCCGGGTGCAGATACATCTTGATGCTTGTGTTTCTGTTTTATGCTTCTCAGATGTTCTGAAAAGTGTAACTAAACCGTGTAATATAATTGCTAATTTTTTTCAATAAAACGTATTATCAAACGACTATGCCCCGTTTCATTTGCATGTCCTTAATTTTCAGTCAAGTTTTGCAAGAGATTTCAACTCCTGAGTTCACAGCCCACTTTGTTCCATTGAGAGCCCCAACAAAGGAAACGCGTGACATCAGACTTTGGTTCTCTCCGCCGCTGAATGCCGATCGGCGCCCCGCGGTTGCGTTAATCATCCCTCGCTTCAACGTCTCCCTGCTTAGACGAGTGTGGCGCCATCTCAGCGGTGACCCTGAACCATTGGCATGAAATGTTCCACGCGTTAGCATCTACGTCATCCTTAAAAATAACAACACGGTCGTTCGCGTCGCTGTGGAGAATATAAACAAATGAACAGCTTTGAAAGCCCCCTTTATGTATCTGTCCCTCAACATAGAGCTCATTTACCTACCCCTACTGCATGACATCTGTCAAGAACTTCATAGCCCATGGGATTACTCCTCCAGTCGAAAGATTCTGATGTTTTTTTTACAACTCATCAGCCACACGGCCTTCTGGGAGCGCATGATTTTAGCAGCATTGGTTCCACACAAGTAAACTGCATCAATTTGGACGTTTGTCTCAGCAGCAGCCAGGCTTGCTTGAACCAAAGATAGTGAACTGCCAGATGTTTGTAGGCAAGGACCCTGGGGTCCGAGTTCAACGCATCCATGAGGTACCACTCCCCATTGGCAAGCAAGAGTCTTGGTCTCTGGTGTGCGGTGTGTGCTGTGCGAGCGGTGTGCGGTGTGTGCTGTGCGAGCAGTGTGTGGTGTGCGGTGTGTGCTGTGCGAGCGGTGTGCGGTGTGCGGTGTGCGATGTGCGGTGTGTGCTGTGCGAGCGGTGTGTGCGGTGTGTGCTGTGCGAGTGGTGTGTGCTGTGCGGTATGTGCTGTGCGGTGTGTGCTGTGCGAGCGGTGTGCGATGTGTGCTGTGCGAGTGGTGTGTGCTGTGTACTGTGCGAGCGGTGTGTGCTGTGCGAGTGGTGTGCGGTGTGTGCTGTGCGAGCGGTGTGTGCTGTGCGAGCGGTGTGTGCTGTGCGAGTGGTGTGCGGTGTGTGCTGTGCGAGCGGTGTGTGGTGTGTGCTGTGCGAGTGGTGTGTGCTGTGCTCGGGTTGCGTCCAGGAGGCGGGGTCTTCTGCAGGAGGCTGGGCGTCGCCTTGTCGCGACACGGCACAGCGCTTGGTGATTTGCAGTTTTAGTATGCAAATGAAGCTGCTTAATTTTCACGTTTAAGAATTCATATTTCGTCTTGGCTGCCATTACAAAAATAAAATAAGTTATAAATAAAGACAATAAGGAACCGGCATGCAGCATCAACGCATGACAGTCTTGACCGGCAGTCAGGTGGTTGGTGGTGAAGTAGTCGCTGTTTCACTGCACTCGCTCACCGGCAATCAGTCGCCTCTTTATCACTCTTCTATCGGTGCTGCTGCCATGGTGACTGAGCTTCACTCGTTGATTCCTCCACCCGTGTTGAAGATTCGGTCCACTAGACACCGTTTTGTCTCATCCACCACATTGTCCAACCACCACCACACTGCAGATCACAACACACTCAACCGGTAACTCACTCACACCCTTCGCTTTCTGCTTCTTCCCTTGTATCGTCTCCTTTCCCAAGCTCTTACCTCGCTCAATAACTTCTCAATTAAAGAAACGCATTACACTCATATATTACAACTGTGACGACAGTGCTGTTTTTTGCTGGCCACTTGATCTTTTGGGCCCTTGGGCCTTGCCGTGCATCACAGTCCGTGCTAAGAGGGGCACCGCTGCCGCTTGCGGCGCAGGCATCGCACGCTCCGGGGGATGCGCGGGGCTGCAGGGTCACGTGTCCCCTCCCGGGCCCACGGAGTCTTGAGCTCGCGGGCCTGGGGTCGCTCCTCCCGGGGCCGCTCGTGCGCTCCCACGCCAAGGCCCTCGCGGCTCCGGGGGCCCTCGCAGGAGTGCGGCTCGGGGCCCTCGGGGCGCGTGCTCAGCAGGGCCAGCAGACGCTCGTACCAGCCGCGTCGCTGCCCCCGCTCGGGGCCTCCCCAGCCGCCCCGAGGCAAGGCAGCGGCCTCGACGCGCGGGGCCGGCAGCACGGCCAGGCGCAGGCGGGCCACGGAGCGCGTGAAGCCCAGCTCCTCGGAACGGCACGCGTAGAGGCCCGCATCGCTGGGCCGGGCATCTCGGATAAGCAGGCCATGCTCGGTGAGCAGCAGACGCTCGGTCTGCCACGGAGCAGCACCACACACAGCACCACACAATCAGATCCACGCTCACCACGGCACCACACACGCACACTAGGATCCACACTAACCAAGGCACCAGACACACGCTCAGATCCACGCTCACCATGGCACCACACACAGACACTCAGATCCACACGCACCACAGCACCACACTCACCACACACTCAGATTCACACTAACCAAGGCACCACACACACACACTCAGATCCACACTCACCACAGCACCACACACACACACTCAGATTCACACTCTATCCTGAGGGGCCACTTTAGCCAGCACCTGGCTAAATTGAAGGGGGAGGGGTTACGACCCCCTCTTAACACATTGGCCACTGTGGCAGCTACATAATATACCATGAGGGTACCAACTGATTAGTATCTGTTGGTACCCTCGTGGTGTGCCTGTGAGTGCGGGGAGCTCACCACGCCGTGCTCACCTGGGTCACACTCTGGACGTGCACGCGTGTCTGCCGCTGCCAGGAGACGCGTGCGTGGCGCGAGCGTGGGCGACACTCGAGCAGCGCGCCGCTCCCCGCCACCACAAACTGCCTCTCCTCCTGCGCCTCTCCCACTCCTCACACACACAGAACATGCAACGACAACACACATGGACATACAACAACAACCGCCATTCGCCACTCAGTGGCGGTGACGTCACCACGACGCTTGTGCCAGGCCATGTGCACCTTGAGGCCACGTGAAGTGTCGAATGCCCGCTGGCAGGAGGTCACGGGGCAGACCCAGGTGCCATGGGTCGACTGACTGAGCTGACCAAGATGACTGGCTGATGCACCACCTGTGCCCCCTACTGTGTCAACCTGCTGTGATTTAGCCACCCGGCGCTCAGCTCGTTGTTGTGAGCGTCGCTCCTCCGCCCTCCGTTGTTGTTCGAGGGCGACTGCTTCCAACTGCCCGGTAGCATCCTTCACGAGCCTCCTCCACAGAGGCCGATCTTGACACCGCTGGTAGCAGTCATCGGCAAGTCCAATCAGCTCCATGTCCTCCTGTACCACATCACTCCATCTCTTCTCTAGCCCATGCCGCCCGCTTAGCCGCCTCGATCCGGCCGAACAAAAGCTGTTTGGGCGACATGACCCAGCCAACGCAGCCTTGCCTGCCAGAGGAACTCACCGATGGGACTCTTTCGAGGATTTGTGAGCTCCTCGCACAATCCAGCCTGGTTAAACCCAGGATTGATCGTAGGCAGGCCAGCCTCAATGTTTCTAACCGGCAAAGATGTTCCATTAGGGGGGTCTACGTTTCGCAAGCGTAGAGAAGGGAGGGATTGACTGTGGCCGAGAAGACCCGAAACTTCGTGCGGAGCGACAGACCAGGTAGCTTCCACACAGCGTTACGCAACCGATGAAAAGATAATGCCGCTCGACTGATTCGGAGTGAGACCTCTGCTGTTAAACCCGAGCCGGTCATGAGCACACTACCCAGGTATGGGAAACTCTCCACTCTCTCCACAACTGCCCCATCACCGATTGGGAGTTTTGGGGGTGGAGTATTCGATGGTACAAAATACCCAGGCAGGTGCTTCGTTTTGGTGGGGCTGATGGTAAGGCCCCACCCTCTTAGTGGCACACTCCAGTTTCAGCAGCAGTGCCCCTAACTCCCCCTCTGAGTGAGCCGCAATTACCAGGTCATCGGCATACATAACGTGGTTGACCAATAGGGAACCATCCCTTGACCGCACCCGGGCATCGATCAGCCTCCCATTATATCTGTACCAGATGGAAATTCCTCCGGTACAGCTACTGAAGGCTTCACGAACTACGTGGTCGAAATAGATGTTAAATAATGTTAGAGCCAGAGGACATCCCTGTCGCACCCCAAGGTGTACAGGGAATGACTCTGACTCCCTGCCACGTAGTTTTACCCGGGCCCGCTCACCATCATGAAGGTCCTTAATGATCGTGAGCAGTGGGTCAGGGACTCCGAAAGCACGAAGAACAACCCAGAGCCCAGGCCTACTGATGGTATCATAGGCCTTGACCAGGTCAATACAGCAGAGATGTAGGTCTTCTTGGAATACACCATACACTACCACATACACACACACACACACAAAGATCCCCCCCTATAGCCTCAACGGACTGCTGGGACAAGTGCTGTTAGCGAGCACCTACGAAAGTCGGCACAGCACACGAGGGGGCGGGTGGCCAACACCACGCCTGGCCGCTTTCGTCCTCTAGTGGCGATGTTGACACGCCACACCAGGTACTAATTTGAGGCCAAGTCGACCTAGGGGAGGCTTAGAACCAGTTCAAATATTTTACACCGAAGTTGGCCATGAGTGGGAATTTAACTCAGGATGCTGGGTTTGTAGCGCAGCGCGCTAACCACCACACTACCGATCCCCACACACACTCTCTCATGACAGACATGCACACAGAGCGCGCACACACATACACAGACACAGAGGACACGTGTGTGTGTGTGTGTGTGGCAGGTTACCGGGCTGCCCGTGGCACTGCGTCACCGGGTTTCCATGTCTCACATCCTGGCGCCTGAATCTCCTGGAGGGCACAGGGGTACAGGGGCAATGGGCAGGGCACAGGTCCACAGCTGGATATCATTTCCACTCTTTCGATTGATGGACCCAAAGTCTAAATGATGTCTTGCTCCAATGAGTTGAGAGATATTGGAGCTCCCGTTTATGGCCCTGCAGAGCCAGTAGTGGAATTCCTAAAATCTATGACAGGCAAAAGCCAATTAACAGGACAACCCCTGTTGACTTCCCCACAAAGTGATACCGATTTTACTGACCGCAGAGGGATGATGGGCTGAGTCAATCCCCCAACCATGATTTGAAGTCGCGACCTTCCGAAAATTCGGATTTATAAAGGCGCCCCTCAAGATATGTTAGAGTTCCATATGTGTAAAGAAGGGAGGAATAAGTGAGGAGTAACCGGGAAGAGGAAAGCTGAAGAGAAAGAGAGAGAGAAACTCAAGAAAGGGCCGAGTTCAACAGCTGGTGGGGTCTTCAGTATTCATTGATTGCGAGTTCTCGGCCTCAAAGGGCAGGAACTCCAGAGCCCGGGCCCCGTGCAGACAGCAGCCCCATGGTCATCCCAGAGTCGGAGTCCGGAGCGTGGCGGTCACGCCGAGTAGGGGGGCACGGTCGGTGGATCTCAAAGGTCTCGGTGGAGGAGCGAGTGGCTCAATCAACTCCTGGATATAAGGTGCAGCTAGCCTTAAAACACGAATAGGATAATCTTAAAATCAACCCGGGTTTCAATCGGGAGCCGGTGCAGCGACACGAGCACAGGGGTGAGGTACGGTGCCAAAGGGGAGTGCGAGTGAGCGCCCAATTGGCCGCGAGGTTGGATGGACCACAGGCTACCGAGGAGGTCACTCGGGCCTCTGGACAAAACAAAGCATCGCAAGAGCGAAAACGTGAGAACACGAGTGTACGCAGCGGTCTCTCCGCTTCTGCAGGAGAACGAACGTGGCGCAGCTGGGCGACGTTTCTTAAATGGGTCCTCGCAGCCTTGCTCACGGGTGCGACCGGCAGGAGAAGGACCGATCGAGGAGACAGATTCAGAAGAATGCGAGGCTCTCTTGCTTCGTGCCTTTGGGGCCACGAACCGCTCGCCCCACACGCCCGGCCAACCGTGTTCATCGTGGTGACAGCGCCTCAGAGCGCAGGGCGCGAGCGAGAGGCGCGTACCGCCGGGAGGGCGCGTGGTAGCGTGAGCAGGCACGCCCGTCCCACGCGCAGTGCGGATCCCGTGCGAGGCAGCACTCGGCACACGCCTGGCCGTAGAGGTCGCAGCGCTGCACGGGGAGCTGCACCAGCCCCGTGCCGCTGCCCACGTAGAGCTGCCGCTGCGGCCGGAGCACAGGGAAAGGGATGGAGAGTCACTGCCAGAACCTAGTGAGTCCAGCAATCTGTTATTTATCATCATTTTTATTAGCAACATGTTTCCCCATTAAATTCTCGCCGAGTCTCCAGACTTTTTTTCAGGAGGGTCTTGTCATATTTTCGCAGTAGGGGGCGATGTTCATGCTGCTGCACGATCCCGAATGTGTAATGTGGAGTGAATATTTCAGCATTGGGATGTTTGTCCAACACCAGTTACATAGATGCTGTGTGGTGTTATAGCTGGAGGCAAAACACGTGACATCCACCAAGCACAGCCAGTCCCCCTAAAGCACAGCAAGTGCCTTGGGGCACTCGCTGTATATGTGCTTTCATCATTCAAGATTTTTTTGGGTTAGATCGCGTAAATATATAAAAGTGTCATTAAACCCGCCAATCACCCCACACAGCCAATTGGTAAGGTCTGTCACGTAAACAGAACATGCCAATTCGTTACTAGTACAGTACACCGGTGTGTTGGAGAACAAAGCCACAACATTTACAATCTGTTTACGTGACAAACATTACTAATTGGCTGTGTCGGGTGGTGGTGGGTTTAACCACACATTTATATTTACGCAATCATACCCACAACACCTGTATTTTGGATTCAATCTTGATTTGAAGCTTTCGTGACTGCAGGAATCCATACTCTTTGGTTCTTTTGGTAAAGTCACGTAGTTAGAAAATTAATAGATCACGACGTTTCGATCGCAACACAAGCTACCGTCTTCAGGTGAGAGAGAGAACGCTACTGAAACAAGGTCTTATATAGGCCTGAGATGGGTGTAGCCTCAGGGTAAGAGGGCGGGACTAGAGATGGTCTGCCTGAGGCTGTGGAAGTGACGATTGTATTGTGAGAGATTAGCGTGTCAATGCACGAGCTTAGTATGTCGCAGCATCGGTGACTGAGCGAGAAGGACACCCAGCCCGTCAATACAAAGACATCCAACCTAATAATGCAACTCAGAGAGTCAGCTAAAAGCTAAAATAGATATTGGTCGCGAATGCCTACGTGTTAAACTGTATGTGCTTTGTGTATACCGACATTCGACACCTTAAATAAGCAGCAGCATCGCTCCTCCTACTGTGGAACCTTGGCAGGACGCTCCTGAACAAGGGAAATATTAATAATAAAACCCAAGCAGTGAGGATCCCATCTGGGTGCGACAGTGAATGTGCCCTCGCCGCGCCGGGAGCTCTGCACGGTCCCTTGGGCTGCGTGAGCGCTCCGAGCGCGTGCAGGGCCCCCCGTGTCGAGTTTACCCGCTTGCTGGAGATCTCCATCACCGTCACCGCAGAGCCATCCTGAAAAACACAGCGGAGTCATGCTATGACGCAGTGCTGCGTCCCGTTGCGCCGCGTCGCGTTGCGCCGCGTCGAGCTGTGCCGCGCTTACCTCAAACAGCTGCAGCTCTTCGAGCAGCAGAGCCGAGTCGCCGCCGTCAGCGCCGGGGACCAGCACGGCCTTGAGCAGCCGCCCCGTGTCTGTGCGGCACGACGCACCGCGCACACCGCAGCACGGCACACAGCAGACATTGTCGCTCACCGCGACAGCCCCACAGGGAGATCTCTGTGGGGCTGCGCAGCGCGCGCCCAGACAGGGTGGCGCTGTCGCCCACGACCCACGCGTCTGCTCGCCTGCCAGGTGGGGCGACCCCGCCGCCCCTGCGTGGCGGTGACGAGGTTTGAACGCAGCAACCTCCCTGGTTAATACCGCGGTGGCGTTCACCATGGAATAACACGCAGCAGTAGCATGGCCCCCACTGCCAAACCACTGCACAGACTGCGTCTGTGAACCAAAGTGACCCCTTCCTCCATGCCAGCCGCACGCGGTGAGAATCAAAATCTTCATTTAGATTGGAGCTATTTTTTACAGCTATTGTCCAGAAGGTACAGGGCAATTAGTTACAACAAACATTGCAAAAAAAGTGCAAAATAAAGAAAAGGTAAGCAAGGCATGAAAACTAAATAAATATAAAGTTTATAAATGAGTACAAATGACATAAGTACATGAATTCATGCCGATTTCTCAACACTAAATGCAAGCCGGCACCAATCGACCCGAGCGGCCACGGTACCGGGCAAATCGCCCTGGTCACCCGTGGCCCCCCCCTTCCCGAGTCACGCCAGCGGAAGCGTCTCCTGCACAGCGACGGCGCCCGCTCACCGGTGCCCAGGTAGAGGACGTGGTAGCGCCCGTCGGTGGCGTCGACGCTCTCCGCCACGACGCGCGTGAGCAGCCGGTCGCCCCGCGCGTGCACCAACGCAGGCCGGCCGGACGCGGGCCGCACGGCGCCGGCCACGAGCGGGTGAGCGCGGGCGAAGTCCACCACGGCGTCCGGCAGATCGCGGGTGGAGCGGTACGTGCCGTGCACGCCGCCCGGGCACTGCGCACGGCATGGGAGACGCACGTGGTCGGCTCGTCCGGGTCAGGGGAGAGCTCGGGGGAGAAAGAGCAGGAGATGTAGAGGAGAGAGAGCAATCGAGAGCAGCAAGAGAGAGTGAGAAGGAGAAAGGCTCAGCCGCAAGCGTGACCTGGGTCACCAGCATGGCAAATCGCGTGACAAGCACAGCAAGGAAGCAAAATGGCAACCAGAGCAGAGACAACCAAATCGTGCGCTCGTCACAGGTGCGTGATTATGCGCGTCATGGTTTACGTTATGTCTGTCACAATTTTGTAATTATGGCCGTCACAGTTTTATCATTAAGTCGTGTTGCGTTTGTCACAGGCTCGGCGGGGCGGTCAGGGTGCGCACCGTGCCGGGGCGAGGGAAGGGCACGCGGCCTGCGTAGGGGCCCCACGCGTGTCGTGCGCCCTCCCTGTGGGCAAAGGCGCCGCGGAACACGGCCGACACGTCCGCCATGTTGTACACGCACAGCGCAGAGCCACGCAGGACATCGCTGGGCGAGACGGTGGCGGAGGCATGGGGGGGAGGGGTAGAGAGATTCGTCACAACGCAGGGCCCACCGCCGCTCTCCCACACAGTCACCAACGTCAACAATGCCACAGGTGATTTGCCTCCTGCCCATGCCGCGTCTCTCCCTTCACGGAGGAGTGACAAGCATGAGCACCTTGCGCGCTCGTTATGAGCACCTTTTGCTCAATTACGAGGGGCACCTTGGACTTGTAAATCAACTCTGACTCTTCGAGGAGGTAAACACTCTTCTTCAAACTCTTAACACCACCGATAAAAGCTCCAACTCGTGTGTGTGTGTGTGTGTTCGTGCGTTTGATGCCGGTTCTGGTGTGGTGTAGCGGCCTGTATCCTGCACAATAGCCCACTGGTTGGGGACAAAGTAGATTCACAATCTACGTTTGGGTTGGGCCACGTGGGGGCGACGTTGGCATTGCCACCTGGACGTTGTGAAGATGGCGAAGATGAGGGGGCTCCTGCCGTCCGGCCTCTTTAGCACAAACACGTCCTCTGCAAGAGTCCAACACACGAGCGGTGTGACGCCGGCTCAGCGTGGGGGCTCGGCACCGTGCTCGCCCCGCCACTGTGACAGCGAGCACCAACGACCCCGCAGCCCCCGCAAGAACACAGCAGACGCGTGGTCTGCCTCGAGCGCCTCTTCTCGTCTCCTGCGGCGGCCGACTATTCACCATCAACTCGGCACCCCTTCAGAGCCAGCAGCCCTCTCGGTGCAAAGTGTGCGCAGCGAGTGGCAAGTGTGAAAGATGAGTGCGATTAGCGAGCGTGATTGTTGGGGGTTGAGTGCGAGCGGTGAGTACGAGGGAAACGCACGCAGCACGTGGAAGTGCGTGTGGACGCCGCTGACGCCGGGCACGGAGCAGACAAGGCGCGCTTTGAGGAAGGTGCTCCAGCGGCCCACGAGGCTGCGCCGGCCGCCCTCGTCATCCTGGGGGCAGCGGGGAATCAAACATGCGACAAATCGTGGCCTAGGCAAGTTAAGCTGGTACTCGGGCCCCAAGTGCTCATGTAAGGCCGAGTAGATCTAGGAGAGCTCCAGAATCGGTTCAGCTATTTGTCACCAATGTTGGTTGTAAGCGGGTATCGAACCCAGGCCGCCGAGTTTGTAGCGCCAGTACTCCATCTGCACGGGACCGAGTGTCACCTCGCCCCTTTGCACGTGTCGGTTTTCTCCGGGTACTATAAACAATCATCCTGACGTAGAACCACAGAGCTTGGGCAATTGTCGGCGCCAATTCCGGCTGCAATTCCCGCTTTGTCGCCTGCGGTTCCCTGCCCCTCCGCGCGAAGCCTGCGCGCAATCCACCGACCCTCGCCTCAACGGCGCCGCGCCGCAAGCCACGGCCGTCCCACCCCGCCGAGTGGCACCTTGCAGACTTGGGCCACGCGGGAGACGATGCCGCGGCCGTCTCCGGTCTCGCCCTCCGTCGCCCTCTCGTGGAAAAAGAAGTAAACCTTCTCGTTCTCGCCACGGCCTTCGGAGATCGGCTCGACGTGGACGAACTGGGGATCTGACGGCACGCGCCGCGAACACGCGCACACCGGTCACGGGCCGCACGGGGAACTCTCGCACGCTCACCGTGCTCGCTCGCCACTCGAGCCGCACTCACCGTGGAGCCAGCGCGTGTCGTGCTGCTCGCTGCGCACCGTGGGTGCCGCTCCGAGGCTGCGGAAGGCGGCGCCGTCGTGGCCCAGGAAATCTGCGGCGAGGCCGGCGTAGAGACGGCCACCTGCAAGGCAGTAGCACCGCCACTCGTGCCGAGTACCCCGGGTGATCCGGTACCACCACCGTGGTCAGTTAATCTAGCACTACCCTGGTGAACGGGAGCCAGTGATTTAGCAGTACCATGGTGAACTGGGAAGTATTCTGGCTAACCGGTGCAGCCTTGGTGATCGACGACTACCACGGTGATCCGAGGCTACACCAGCGATCTGGAACTACCTCGGTGGTTGGTGATCTAGGACTACCCCGGTGATCCGGTGCTACAACAATTATCCGGGGTAGCCCAAGTCAGCCCAGCCTTTATTGCACAGGCCCGGTTCTTATTTGGGCCTCCACTGGGGTAGCAGCACCCATGGCCCTCACCAGAGCCGTCCCGAGGGTACGACGAATCGTCACGGTGTCAGATGTAATACTTCCACTTTAGTTTGAAGGTATCAGGGGCCCACATGGTGCAAGTTGTCCTAGGCCCCGCACCCCCCTGTGGACGGGCCTGGCTCTCACACCAACATCACAGAGGGGATGGTGGAGGGGGCAGGAGGCCATGCGTCTGCTCTGCCTCCATCCCCAGCACACGGCGCTGCGGCTCGGGAGTGGAGGGCAATGGGGCGAGCGGACAGGGAGGCGAGTCGCGCGGGGAGGAGGAGGAAGAGAGGGAGGCATGAGATTCATCACCGATCATGGCGGAGGCGAGGGGCGAGCGTGGGTCGTACGAGCATCGCCCCCTCCCCGGGAACACGTCCTGCGGCCTCCACTGCTGCACTGTGCCCCCCTGTGTGCGACAACATCCAAGACGAGGCGACCCATCGGTGACGCCGGGGCTTGGGCCAAGCGGGCATCTCGCGGCATCTGTGTCCAGGAATTGGCAAACAGTGGCCAACCATAAGTATTTCACGAAAAAAAACATTCCTGTCAAGCAGCCAGCAACAAACAGAACCGTCACAGTTGTAATGGATATGAGTGCACGAAGCGGCCGTGTCCACCGCTGCACCATCTGTGTGTTTTTTCGTGGCGGGTTTGAAGTGTAAAATTCAATGTATAAACGCGCGCTGCTTAAAACGCATTCCAGCGACTGTACAGGTGAATAATTGATTTGTACCGAGAACCGGTACCGGTGTTGTCTGGAGCCCGATTGCAGGATACTGCCATACAGCTGCGAATATAGACCTCGGCTAATGCACTGATTGACGTGCGTGGGGGTTGGTCGACAGTAGAAGAGGTGGCGACCCTAGGAGGGACCTTGGAGACACTACGCTCTGTCCGCACAGCTGCTTTCTCCATCCCACACCGTGCCCTGGACCGTGTAATCGTAACGAGCTCGCCAGCCAGAGCTCCCGCACGCGCGTCTCTCGACATGTCCCCACATCTGGATATCATTCCAGGCGGCGTCTGTTTAACACTGCGGGTGCATTATTAACCAGGGGACACGCGCCGTCTGCATCATTGAGTGATCGTGAGAGATCCCGTGGCGTTATTCGATGAGGGTAGGGAATTGTGTGCCGGCGTCATGGTACGAATCTAGCCAACGTCACCTCACGCATCACTCAACTGGAACAATCAAGAACAACATCGGCCCCTGCCGAGAGACTAATGGCCAATCTTGATTTGAAGCTTTCGTGACTGCAGGAATCCAAACTCTTTGGTTATTTCGGTAAAGTCACGTAGGTAGACAAAATAATAGATCACTACGTCTCGGTCGCCACACAAACAATCGTCTTCAGGCGAGAGAGATAAACTAATGGCCACTTGCAGGCCTAGTTGCCGCGTCACCTTGTGCCGCACAGGGACAAGTCCCATCGGTGGGTCCGCTAGGCCATTCAAAAATGAAACTCGAGCAGAATAGCAATGCAATGGTTGAGATCCGATGATGTCAGGTGCTTTAAGGTGCTAAGCCACTGAAGTGAGTGCCATTCTACAAGAAGCCACTGAAGTGAGTGCCATTTTACAAGAAGCTCCTCTCCCTGGGCTGACTGTTGCTGCCGACTGTTACGGCTGTGGATGGCAAGCAGGTTGGGGGTCTACAGGGGACGGGGAGGAGGGGCGAGCGTCGTATAAACAACGAGCAGACACTTCTCTTCACATTATCTCTCGCTCCCCATAAATAATACAAGTTTATTTTTTGTACACATCCCAGCAGCCACACGGCTGTCTGGAAGTGCAGAATTTTAACGCATTGGCCCAATGCGTAAGTAAAAACATCCTGCGTCTCATCAGCAGTCGGCTCGCTTGAACCGCCGCCGCTGAACTGCCCAGATGTTTATCGGCGAGGGCCCTCCCTGTTGGGGCCCTCAGACGCAAACATATAAACTAAGCTGGTGGCTGCTCACGCATGACGAACACAACGGGGTTCTTAGCTCTTCTGACTTATAAAATCACGATCCCTCTTGTTTACCCTGCAGGAGAGCCTCATAGATCCTCACAATTCTTTTCAGGAGGGTCTTGTCAAGCTTGTCGCAGTAGGGCGCCAAGTAGCTGCTGCTGCTGTGTAATCCCAGACGAGTAAGTTGCAGATACTTTGTCGAACCAGTTGCATGCAATGCCAGGTCTCGCCACGGGCCAGAACGACCTCTAGACCTTTCTCGTCCATGACTTTACAAATCGCCTTCTCTCTATCAACTACACCGACTCCTCCTCACTCTGCTGAACCAATGTGAGAAGCAAACTCGGCACCACTTGGAGTGTCCCGGAATTCGGGGGAAGACCATTAAAATACCCTCCCCTTGAAGTCTCGAGCCAGCAAGCACGCAGGGAAGATACAGAATGTCGGATGTTGTGTAAATCCCATGTCCATCTGCACAAACGATTAAAGCGCTGCGACGAGACGCGACTCCGACTGCGAAGCGGAGGAATGCACGGAGAGCGGAGAGGGACGGAGTCGAGGTCATCGCTCTGCGGGCCGAGGGGGAGCGCAGAGCCCCCCCCCCTCGCTCCGCGTGGCCCCCTCTCTCGTTCCCCGCGGGGCCCTCCCCAGCGAGCCTCGCAGTGCGGGGCCTCGCGCTCCGAGTAGCACTCTCGGGCGGCAAGACGAGCGGGGCACCTGCCTGGACGAATGTTTTGCTGGGATCCAACAAACTTTCGAGAGCAACAAACGCATCGTCAGTTTGTAGTCACCGGCGGGCAGGGTGGCATGCCGGCACCCACACGGTCGCGATTCCTACGCCGCGGAGTTTCCGCAGAGGGGACACGGCTGTGATCATGCACTGCTGCTGCTACTCCTGCTGCTGCTACTCCTACTGCTACTCCTGCTGCTGCTACTCCTGCTGCTGCTACTCCTGCTGCTGCTACTCCTGCTGCTGCTACTACTCCTGCTGCTGCTACTCCTGCTGCTGCTACTACTCCTGCTGCTGCTATTGCTACTGCTGCTGCTACTACTGCTGCTACTCCTGCTGCTGCTACTCCTGCTGCTGCTACTCCTGCTGCTGCTACTCCTGCTGCTGCTACTCCTGCTGCTGTTGCTACTCCTGCTGCTGCTACTACTCCTGCTGCTGCTACTCCTGCTGCTGCTACTCCTGCTGCTGCACGGGACGAATAGGGAAATAGGGGTCACCGGGACAACGGTGATCGTTCACAATGCGCCTCCTTGCACGCCACACATCGTCGTGGCAGAGCAGTCGCTGCTTTTGGGCAAAGTTACCCCGACAGGCAACATGTGCAATGGTTTACAGTTAACCATCGGCACCCCATCATAAAGAAAACGATGCAAGAGTTGAATGGTGTACCGTGAACCCTGGCTTACGAAGTCAGACCCCCTCAGTCTTGTACAGGGTCCTGCACCGCTGGTTCCTGCCTGCCTCTATTTGCCTCAGGGCACACAACTTGCACAAATCACGACGGTCTAGTTCTTGGAGGCACGATTAGATGTGCGTTACACGAGCGAATGAGATGGGCTCTCCATGCTTGGGGACAGAAAACAACGCAGCATTCAATTTAAACTAAGCTGCTTTTCTCAGCCGAGATGATTGAAGCAAACAAAATAAAATATTATAAAATGAGCCTCATTGAACAGGACAAGAGAGACAGGTTCGGTTATCCTTCCCTCGAGATGATCACGAGGGTGAATTGTTGTTGTGCTCCGTTCCCCAGAAAAACCTCATGTTCAGGAGGGTCCTGCCAAGTTTCCACAGTAGGGGGGGTGCTTTGTGTGATCCCAACTGAGTTATTTGCAGGGACATTTGAAGCACTGCGAGGTGGCTTTTACCTATGGGAGGAAACCGGAGACCCCGGAGGAAGCCCATGCAGAACAAGGGGAGAGAATACAAACTCCAAGCAGAATGGCACCCTTGTCGGGAATCAAACCCAGGGTCTTCTTGCTGTGAGGCGCACGTGCCATCACTTCGCCACAAGCCAACAGAGCAGAGGAGGTAGACAAATCTCAAGTGACGAAGGTGGAGATGACGCGATGATGAGAGCACAATGCAGCTGTGCGGCCCAACAGCTGAGCACCAAAACGGTGCACAAGGCGCCGCTGTGCTCCATCGACAAAAATAACCCCACGGGCCGCTCGCACCCCGGGCAGGGGTCGCGCTCCCGAGACGAACCCGACAATAACGGTGCAGTGTTCCCCACGCGGTACACACAGCAGCAGCCCCTGTTCGTTACAAAGCAACAGAGCTGCCATTTGAACACAGAGTTCCATTTAAAATGTTCACGACCACACAGGAGCCCCGGTGCTATAGTGCATCATCAGAGCTGACATTTCGTCATCGCTGTCCGGGTAGGCAGCGGGAGGGAAGCGTGCGCCCTGCAAAGGGCACGGCCACAGCGAGCGGCGCGCTGGGGGGGCAGCCCGCACCAGGGTAGGGACCGGAGCTTGGACCGCAGAGCTCCCCGACGCTTAGACGCCCCTCGGGCTCGCCTTGTGTTTACATCTTTAGTAAAAATTCACTCGCGTGAAATATTTGAAAATTCGAAGAGAGAGACCGCCGCGCTAACCGCTTTGCGCGGCTCCACGGGCGGAGACGTCAGCCCTGCCGCGTGTTTTTCCACAGCCCCCTCCCCTGCGCGTGGAGGAGACTGCGACGCCGCCCTCCTCCCGCGCGAGCGTCGTGCCGCGGACGGCCCGGGGCGGGGGGTGCAGTGCGTAACGCGCCCGGGCCTTGAGTGGCACCGCCGGCTGCGCCACCACGAATAACCGGACTGCGAAGTCGCGCCGCCCCTCGACGCGAGGAGCCACGTGAGGAGCCGCGCTCGTGGAGACAGCTAAGGTGGTGCAGTGGCGAAGAGCAGTGGGGAGCACCCGGCAGCAGCGGCGGCAGCTACACGTCACAGAGACGGAGCAAAGCCATTCATGGCATACGCAGCGGAAAGACCCGATTGGTATCATGAGCAAAGACAAAAAGATCCCTGTGTAGCCAAAACTGTATTTTGGGGGCAGTGTATATAACACAGATCGAGTGATTGAAGTGTAAATCTTTCCATCACTCATCATCACGTGTCACTATTTTCGCATGACACCCGTAGGTGTGCACATGTCTGCTCCCAGTTACTCACAGCACGCAGACTACTGCTGTGGAAGTATGGCAGATATGAATCTTACAGATGACAAGCCGATGGTTAGTGGGAAGATCAGCTCAACGGAAGGTCCCGGTGTCAAGGACACGGGCCCGCATTTCCTGTTCTGTCACTAAATAGTCCACCAGATGTTAATGCTTGGATCCGGCGTGCATCCATGAAGCGGTGTGGATCCACTGATGCAAAAACAGTGTGTCGATGATTACAAGCCCATGGGTTGCACACAAGTATAGCATCCGCCTAACATTGTTATTGAGCTGATCTGGCAAATGCCTTCCAATCACTCTGGTCCAGGTGACTGTGACACGTAAATATACAGAGAGCGCTGCCTTTGCAGGTACCGTGGTGGGCACGGGTGCATGGGTACCACGGTGGGCGCGTGACCGTGCGGGTACCGTGGCCAGAGCGTGCACGTCCACGAAGAGGCACTGCGGGTGGAAGGCGCCGGTGCCGCACAGCAACACGTGGCTCTCGTTGTGCGCGTGCAGCACCCGCAGGAAGTTCGCGCAGTCGAGCTGCACGACACGCACACCCACGGAGACAGAGAGCGCCCGCGTCACACGTGGTTCCTCCCCCACACAGACTCTTCTGCTACGTGTGAAGGAACCAACAAACTGGAGAACACGTGAGCGGATGTCACTATGCTGTTGAGAAATCTCACCGAGGTAATGGGAGATGGAGGAGACAGATCAGTGGACTTGGAGTGAGGAGGAGATGGAAATGGTGAAGAGCGATGGCAAAATCGCTGGACATTGAGATGGAGCTGAAGGGAGATGCATCATTAAAAAGTGGTAATTATTCTCAGCAGAGGAATGTATTGGGATGTGCATTGCAACCCTCATTGCTCATGTCCGATTGAAGGTCACTTCTTCTACAAAGTTCCGTATCATTGTTGGCTCACGGTTCCCCTAATTCACAACGCCGCATGACACCGCGTCGCACCCTGGCCCAATTTCCTCGTTATCGCTACCGGAAGAGGGGGAGGGGGGGTCGTGACTCACGCGGGGGTCCCTCCCGGCCGCACGGCACTCCGCCATCTGCTCCTCCGTTGCCACCCAGCGGAGCTGCCAAACACAGGACAAACGTCACCGAGTCAGTGTGTGGCACAGTTCTACGGCGTGTAGCGAATCACGTGCAGCTTGATCAGAAAAAGATGCATTTTGCTTAATCAGGGTGAGAACTCAAGAGACCATGATGATGAGTCTCATTTGCAAGAGTGACCTGAGTCACTATCGTGACAAAAGAGCTTAAAACGTGGTACAACAATGAAGCAAACGAATATCAGAGCAGAGACACCCAGGGAGAAATCCGACCAAAAACGAACAAAGACATCGGCACAAAACAACCACGTTACAAAAAAGTTAAAGAAACCGTGCACAAATGGTGTGGATGTGTGGTGGTGTGACTTTTTGGCCATGTGACCACGTGACCATGTGACTGTTGTGGCTGGTGGTGGTGACGCGACTGTGATCGTGTAGTATTGTTGTGGTGGTGGTAGGTGTGGCGTCACCTCGCGAACGCTGCGGTTGATGTGGTTGAGGTTGGCAAGGAGGAGGCTGTCTGTGGTGGCGATGAGGAGGAGTCCGCGCTCCTCGTCACGCAGCAAGGCGTGCGTCGCCACACCGCCCAGCGCCACCACCCTGCCCCGCAGCTCTACACGGGCATCACACGGGGACAGTCCGCACCCGTGTCAAGGCACGTCGCAGAGCGATCGCGACTGCTAGGGAAAGCCTTCATCCAGCGGTGGATATATTATGGCTGCTGATGATGATAGCCAAAGACGATTCACATAAACAAATGTAAATTTTCCCAGCGTGCTGTGGAGCACACGTTCAGTTGTGTTGCTATGGCACAGAGTGGAATCGGACATCCGTGCATCACCAGCACCCCACCCCAGCGTTTTTAACTGAACTTCTTTCGCAACGTGCGTTAGTCAACCGTGATAATCGGAGTTGCGAGGGAAGGACAAGTTCACACACAAAAAGTTCGAAATACACGAGTTTTGTATTTAAATGTTAAAGTGCAAAGCTCCAGTGGCTTCCTAATACAGTTCAGCAAGTATCACCCTCGTGCAGTCTGGCAGCCTGCCGCTCCGAGACGCTCACAAGTCCAGGCCAAACCACACCCCTCGACCCCAGGTCCATCCTGAACAAGGGATATACTTCCTCAATGTGGTGCACTGTGGTGTAGTTGCTGGAAACCGTGTGGCTTTATCAGCCCATGCGGTCGTGGACCCCCAGCGAGTCCACGACTTGTCTCAGGCGCAGCGGCCGCATTCTGCCCACCCCGTTTACGGGTGTGCGCGTTATCACGCACAGGGTCAGACTCCGGGATTGGTTCCCGCTGAACCGCTGCCAGTAACCAGTTTCAGGAGACCTCGGTGAGACTGCGCTGGTCCGCGCGCGGGTCCAGAGGAGCCGGGCGAGCGCCAGCAGCGCGCTGGCCATGCCGGCTGGCAGTACGCAAGCGGCCAGCGCCGGGATTCACAGCCGGTGTCACACGCAGCTCTGCCCATACGGAGGAGATCCCCGTATGGCTGTGCAAACGGCCTTGGCCATTACTCCAACGGGGGTAGGAAGTGGCGGTAAACAGAAGGTCAAATAAGGAGACTCACACATTCCTCCGCCACTCGCTCGTCCGTGCGGACAAAGCGGGACGGGAGCGACATGGGCATGGTTATCACCGAGCCGTGAATGTTGAGACGACCATGGCGTGACCCTTCCCGTGAAATCTCACTCACTCATTCCTCCTGCTCCACCCGTGTTGAGGACTCGGTCCATCAGAGATGCTCTCACTTGCCCACTCAACTCTTGCACTACCTCACCCACCACACTGCAGGTCACCTCGCTGCTCCAAATTGGAATTCCCTTCTCCCACCGTCGTCTCTATTGGCAAGTCATGACAATAATCTTGCTCAGGCGCGCGTTACACTCCCATCTATTACAACTTTAACAGTGCTGCTTGTTGCTGGCCGCTTGAAGGTTTGGGCCTTTGGGCCCTGCGCTCAGCAACTCTGTTCAAATGGCGACACGGCTCCTGGTCACTGCTGTGACAACAACACAAATACAGCGGCTCGTCAGTCTCGAGGGCGATACCACTCACCAGTGACGATTATCTGAACCGTTCCTGAACATCGTCGAGATCAACTCGGCTTGAAATGAGCACCGAGTGCGGTAAGTAAACATTGCCACTAGGAAGACAAAGGCGGTCGGGCGGTACTCGCTAACAAACACTTGCCCCCAACAGTCTGTCAAGGCTATACGGGAGATCTTTGTCTCTAGCGTTACAGTTCCATCGGTGCGAACTTTCTACCATGGCGGGCGAACTCAACGCGATCGCCGATAACGGAAACACGACAACAACCGCGAACCGCGTCCACAACAAACACCGACACGAGGCGAAAACTTCTCTCACGTGGAGGGGCGGGCGGAGGTGGAAATCCGCAGACAAAATACCGGGCCAACATTCACGCCCTGTGGTGCACAGAGCGCACGGAGAACCTCCACCTCCTGCCCCCCTCGGATCGCCACCGCTCTCACCAGACCCCGCAGGACACATTTATTCAGCCAGCACTCGGGCTCGTGTCAAAAGCTGTGCGGTTTACTGGAACGAAGTTCAGCGCAATACCCGTCCAAGACCTTGGCACAAATCACCTCTTGCTACCCGAATAGAGGCGGCAAATCTGGTGCATGAACCAGCGCTATCCAGAACGAGACACGGGTCGATCTCCCTCCCGTGGCGAACAGACGCCACGGGAGAGGCAGCCCGGCATTGTGTTTTGCCACACGGCAAGACGCGTGCGAGTTTGACGAAGTGGAGACACTGCGCGAAATGCCCCTGAAGGTGGCCGAGTCGATTCGTCTCTGCCCGACCCGACCGCGCCTCCCGTTCCCCGGCACCGCGGCGCGCGTGCCTCCCACCCGAGCGCAGAGATGATAATCGCTCGAGCATCGCGGCCGGAAGGGAAATGAATACCAAGAGCAGCAGCGGTGGCAGCAGCAGCAGCAAGCAGCACCTTGCGTGTGACACGCGGCATTCCTCGCCGCGACTCGCCCGTGCAGCAGAAGCAGGGCGCTCACACGCGCGGCCCACCGCCCGTACGCACGAGATGCGATCTCGGTGATAACGGCGACGACGATGATGACGATGATAGCGCGTCCAATTTGTAGCGCCACGCGAGCCCGCGGCTCGTTACCGGCTGCGTGGCTATCATCACCACCATCATCACCACCATCACCACCACCACCAACCATCACGAAGTGCGCATTCCGCGGTCTTCACATTCCAGAGGTGAATAAAACGCGAAGGAACAGCCCCTGGGGTCTCTCTGCTGCCCGGCGACAGTGGGGACCGCTCTCAACGACACCGCTGCATGGAAGGTGCTGCGGAGATATTTCCGATATGTTTGAAACGACCAATGAGCTCATCGCAGTGCGAATGCGGTGAGGTGCAAACCGTCAGGCGCACACCAATAGATGATGCGCCCGATGATTGTTAAACACGTCCCACGTGACACGCTAAGTAAGTAACGCTCTCTGCGTTACGTGCTGCACGTGCACATTCAGTAAGTGTGTATAGATCACGTGGAACGCGTGCGCACACGCGCGTGTGCGCTCGTGCGCACACGCGCGCACGCCGAGATATCAATCGTAGTTTGAATCGGCTCTCTTAACGCAGAGAGCGTTAATCGCTTGGCGCGTCACGTGGGACGTGTTAAACCAATCATCGGGCGCGTGAATGGGCAGCAGTCAATTGGTAAACGCGTGGCGGGTCACGAGGACAGGAGTTGGAGACACCTCACGAGAGCTCTCGCCAGCGCAGTGGCCGCGTGACGAGGATAACGCTGCGAGCCATGAAGGGGCGGGGGGGGGTGCTCGATGGGAGCCTCCCTCCCCTCCCAGAAGCGGTCGCCAAGTTCTGGTGGGGACAGTCACAGACACGCGCCTCCCCGCACACACGCGCCTCCCCGCACAAACGCGCCTCCCCGCACACACGCGCCTCCTCGCACACACGCGCCTCCCTGCAGACACTGCGGTCGATCAGAGACGCTTAAAAGAAAATTAAAATACAGCAACAGTAGCAGTAGGTCACATGACAAATCCGGGTGACCTTGAGGAGGGGGCGCCGTTCTTAACAGGAGAGGTGGCGATGCGGCTGCTGCGTGAGATCCCAAGTGAGTGATTTGCAGGTCATTTTCACGTTATGTTTCAGCATTGGGTGGTGTTGTTTGGTCCACATCGGTTACATTGCATGGTTGGGTTGTTTCTAGATTTGCGAGCAAACCGGAGAACCCAGAGGAAACACGCTGAACATGAGTGGGGAGAGAATACAAATTCTACACGCAGAGTTGCCCTCGCGTTGGGAGCAGAACCCAGGGCGATAGTCAACTCCTGCTACAACAGTCTGGGCTGTCCACTGGGGGTGCGGGACCTGGGGCAAACCCCACCGCGGGAACTACGACATCTAACACCGTGACGTCGAAGCTCGGGGCCCCTCAAAGCACGGGACCCGGGGCGGTCTTCCCGATCTGCCTTACCCTTGAGACGCCTCTGACTGCAGTACTACTATTATTATTCTTACAGTTTCGGAGCGCCGCTCTCCCCTCCTGGCAGTGTCTGTTCGCCGCCACCCCCTCTCGTCGCGGTGTTCACGAAGCCCTCCGTCTAAACACGAGGACACATTCCTCCGTGACGCCACCAGCCCCAGCGGGAGGCTGCTGCCCTCCCTTGTCGTGATGGTGGAGCGAGCGACTGAGACCATCCCCTGCACGCAGGCGACCACCTATGGGAAAGGTCGAACCTCGCGACGGGGGGCCCGGGGCTCGTCGCTCGATCTCCAAGCAGCGACATCAACCTCAGAAGATGTTAAAGCGCGGCCCTGAAATTGCTCGCCCACGTCCCTGCAGGCAGCAGAAGGGCCCCCACTGGGGGGATATCTCGTGTATGCCCCCCCCCCACACCGATAAGCACGGTTGGCTTCGTACGGTGCAAAAGAAGTTCAACAAATATACTTTCTGCTTCCCCCACTCCCTGCTCCACCCACAAAGCCGGGCGATGCATGCGGAGCGGGTCCCAGGCGTGCTGCTCGCTGTGCCACCGCTGTTGGGACGGACACATTCACTAAACTCTTTGCGATGGGCGTTCGAAACGACCACATGGCCACACACGAAGTTATTTTGAGATGGTGGTCTGGCCAAGGCTGAGAAGAGATTTTGTCCACGCAACGATGCTGAAACATCTCTGTGTGTGACACCACCTCACTCCACTCCACACTCCACCACATTCCACCATACTCCACCACTCCACCACACTCCACTACTCCACCACACTCCACCACCTCACCACACAGCACCACAATCCACCACACTCCACCACTCCACCACACTCCACTCAACCACACTCCACTACTCCACCACACTCCACCACCTCACCACACTGCACCACACTCCACCACTCCACTCCACTCCACCAAACTCCACGACCTCACCACACTCCACCACACTCCACCACTCCACCACACTCCACCACTCCACCACACTCCACCACGTCATCACACTCCACCACCTCACTACACTCCACCACCTCACCATACTTCAACCACTCCACCACTCTCCATCACATTCCACCACTGTGCGAGTGAGTTGTGACTGGGGAGACAAAGGCGGCCAGGCATGGGGTTGACCACCCACCCCCTCGTGTGCCGTTCTGGCCTTGTGAAGTGATCGCTCACAGCACTTTCCCCAACAGTCTGTGTGTGCGTGCTGCCGACGCCGCCCGCTCACCTGAACGCGAGAGGTAGAGGCGCGGTAGCACGGCCCCATCAGGCCCCACCGCCCCCACCGGCCCCACCACCACCACCAGCAGCAGCAGCAGGAGCCGAGAGGAGAGAGCGGAGCGCATCGCGGGGAGAGAGAGGCCACCGGGAGAGAGGCCACCGGGAGAGGGGTCACTGAGAGAGGCCACCGGGAGAGGGGCCACCGGGAGAGGGGCCACCGGGAGAGAGGCCACCGGGAGAGGGGCCACCGAGAGAGGCCACCGAGAGAGGCCACCGGGAGAGAGGCCACAGAGAGGCCACAGAGAGGTCACAGAGAGGCCACCGAGAGAGGCCACCGAGGCGGCTTCGGGAGCCGAGACTCTACGCTGGGGCAGCACTCGGGCTAGGGACCGGGCGAGCGTGCGCCGGTCACAGAAGGGTCAGTGTGAGGGGCGCCCGACTCGAGACCCGGTGACCGTCTAACGAACAGAACCTGCACGGGGGACGCGCGCGTCTCCAGCTGTCGCCGCAGCCTAAACCGGCTCCATCTCCATGGGCTCCTCCTCCTGCCCCTCCTCCTGCTCCTGCTCCTCCTGCTGCTGCTGCTGTAGGGGGAGGAGGGGAGGGAGGAGGCTGGGGTCCCTCCCCGTGGGCTCAGTCCCCCGCGCCCGCGAGTGCCCCAGCAAGGCCGCCTCACACTCACAACACTCACAACACTCACACTCACAACACTCACACTCCCCTCACACTCACAACACTCACCACACTCACAACACTCACACTCCCCTCACACTCAAAACACTCACACTCACAACACTCACCACACTCACAACACTTACACTCCCCTCACACTCACAACACTCACACTCACAACACTCACACTCCCCTCACACTCACAACACTCACACTCACAACACTCACAACACTCACAACCCTCACAACCACAACACTCACAACACGCACACTCACAACACTCACACTCCCCTCACACTCACAATACTCACACTCACCACACTCACAACACTCACACTCATAACACTCACAACCCTCACAACACTCACACTCACAACACTCACACTCACAACACTCACAACACTCACACTCACAACACTCACAACAATCACAACACTCACACTCACAACCCTCACAACACTCACACTCACAACACTCAAAACACTCACAACACTCACACTCACAACCCTCACAACCCTCACAACAAACACTCACAGCACTCACACTCACAACCCTCACAACACTCACAACACTCACACTCACAACCCTCACAACACTCACACTCACAACACTCACACTCACAACACGCAAAACACTCACAACCCTCACAACCACAACACTCACAACACTCACAACCCTCACAACCACAACACTCACAACACGCACACTCACAACACTCACACTCCCCTCACACTCACAATACTCACACTCACCACACTCACAACACTCACACTCATAACACTCACAACCCTCACAACACTCACAACACTCACACTCACAACACTCACAACAATCACAACACTCACACTCACAACCCTCACAACACTCACACTCACAACACTCAAAACACTCACAACACTCACACTCACAACCCTCACAACCCTCACAACAAACACTCACAGCACTCACACTCACAACCCTCACAACACTCACAACACTCACACTCACAACCCTCACAACACTCACACTCACAACACTCACACTCACAACACGCAAAACACTCACAACCCTCACAACCACAACACTCACAACACTCACAACCCTCACAACCACAACACTCACAACACGCACACTCACAACACTCACACTCCCCTCACACTCACAATACTCACACTCACCACACTCACAACACTCACACTCATAACACTCACAACCCTCACAACACTCACAACACTCACACTCACAACCCTCACAACACTCACAACACTTACACTCACAACACTCACAACAATCACAACACTCACACTCACAACCCTCACAACACTCACACTCACAACACTCAAAACACTCACAACACTCACAACACTCACACTCACAACCCTCACAACCCTCACAACAAACACTCACAACACTCACACTCACAACCCTCACAACACTCACAACAATCACACTCACAACACTCACACTCACAACACTCACAACAATCACAACACTCACACTCACAACCCTCACAACACTCACACTCACAACACTCACACTCACAACACGCAAAACACTCACAACACTCACAACACTCACAACACTCACACTCATAACCCTCACAACATTCACACTCACAACCCTCACAACATTCACACTCACAACCCTCACAACACTCACACTCACAACACTCACAACACTCACACTCACAACACTCACACTCCCCTCACACTCACAACACTCACCACACTCACAACACTCACAACACTCACAACACTCAACTCACAACACTCACAACACTCACAACCATCACACTCACAACCCTCACACTCACAACACTCACAACCCTCACACAACACTCACAACACTCACACTGTCCTCACACTCACAACATTCACACTCACAACACTCACACTCACAACACTCACAACACTCAGAACACTTACACTCACAACACTCACACTCACAACACTCACAACACTTACACTCCCCTCACACTCACAACACTCACACTCACCACACTCACAACACTCACAACACTCACAACATTCACAACACTCACAACACTCACACTCCCCTCACACTCAAAACACTCACACTCACAACACTCACAACACTCACACTCCCCTCACACTCACACTCACAACACACACTCACAACCCTCACAACCACAACACTCACAACACTCAAAACACTCACAACACTTACAACACTCACACTCACAACGCTCACAACACTCACAACACTCACAACACTCACACTCACAACCCTCACAACACTCACACTCACAACACTCACACAACCCTCACAACACTCACTCACAACACTCACACTTACAACACTCACACTCACAATACTTACACTCACAACACTCACACTCACAACCCTCACAACACTCACACTCACAACACTCACACTCACAACACTCAAAACACTCACACTCACAACCCTCACGACACTCACAACACTCACACTAATAACCCTCACAACACTCACACTCACAACCCTCACAACACTCACACTCACAACCCTCACAACACTCACACTCACAACCTTCACAACACTCACACTCACAACACTCACACTAACAACACTCACACTCACAACCCTCACAACACTCACACTCACAACACTCACAACACTCAACTCACAACCCTCACAACACTAACACTCACAACACTCACAACACATACTCACAACACTCACACTCACAACACTCACACTCACAACACTCACACTCACAACCATCACACTCACAACACTCACACTCACAACCATCACACTCACAACCCTCACACTCACAACACTCACAACACTCACACAACACTCACACTCACAACACCCACACTCACAACACTCACAACACTCACAACCCTCACACTCACAACACTCACACTCACCACACTCACAACACTCACAACACTAACACCCACAACCCTCACACTCACCACACTCACAACCCTGACACTCACAACCCTCACACTCACAACACTCACAACACTCACACTCCCCTCACACTCACAACCCTCACACTCACAACACTCACAACACTCACACTGACAACACTCACAACACTAACACTCACAAGACTCACACTCTCAACCCTCACACTCACAACACTCACACTCCCCTCACACTCACAACCCTCACACTCACAACACTCATACTGACAACACTCACACTCATTACCCTCACAACCCTCACACTCACAACCGTCACAACACTCACACTCACAACACTCACACTCACAACACATACTCACAACACTCACACTCACAACACTCACAACCATCACACTCACAACGCTCACACTCACAACACTCACAACCCTCACACAACACTCACTCACAACACTCACACTGCCCTCACACTCACAACATTCACACACACAACACTCACACTCACAACACTCACAACACTTACACTCACAACACTCACACTCACAGCCCTCACAACACTCACACTCACAACACTCACACTCCCCTCACACTCACAACACTCACACTCACAACACTCACCACACTCACAACACTCACACTCACAACACTCACAACACTCACACTCACAACACTCACACTCACAACACTCACACTCCCCTCACACTCACAACACTCACACTCACAACCCTCACAACACTCACAACACTCACAACCCTCACAACACTCACTCACAACACTCACACTCACAACACTCACACTCACAACACTTACACTCACAACACTCACACTCACAACCCTCACAACACTCACACTCACAACACTCAACTCACAACCCTCACAACACTCACTCACAACACTCACACTCACAAACACTTACACTCACAACACTCACACTCACAACCCTCACAACACTCACACTCACAACACTCACACTCACAACCCTCACAACACTCACTCACAACACTCACACTCACAACACTCACAACACTCACACTCACAACACTTACACTCACAACACTCACAACCCTCACAACACTCACACTCACAACAGACACACTCACAACACTCAAAACACTCACAACACTCACAATCACAATCCTCACGACACTCACAACACTCACACTCATAACCCTCAGAACACTCACAACCCTCACAACACTCACACTCACCACCCTCACAATACTCACAACACTCACACTAACAACACTCACACTAACAACACCCACACTCACAACCCTCACAACACTCACACTCACAACACTCACAACACATACTCACAACACTCACACTCACAACACTCACACTCACAACACTCACAACACTCACAACCATCACACTCACAACCCTCACACTCACAACACTCACAACCCTCACACAACACTCACAACACTCACACTCACAACACTCACAACCCTCACACTCACAACACTCACACTCACCACACTCACAACACTCACACTCACAACACTCGCACTCACAACCCTCACACTCACAACCCTCACACTCAC